CCCCAAAACCCCAAAACCCCAAAACCCCAAAACCCCTTTCAGAATAATTTTAATTGAAATAAATATTTGCAGTTACTATGAATTCTCACATTGAGTCACTCTTTGGGTCACCTTCGAACCCTGAACATGTTAAGTTTTATTTGAAGAATAAGGCTGAGAAGAAACAGACATTACAGAATACAGCCCAGAACAGTAATACAAGAAATTCACGTGCTGAAAACTGCACTCTGAAAGAGTACTGAAAATAATAACATCGCATGGGCGGGTCCTGTTCGAAAGGAAGTTTGTTCTACAAGCCCCTCTGCTAAATCATTTTCTAGAGAGAAATTAAGGGAGAAAATTAAGAAACTTACTACTATCTCTACTGAGTATAAATCTATTTCTACAATGATTAAGAACCAGAGTTTTATGAAATCAAGAATAGCATCTAAATCAGACTTTATAAAAGTCAACCCTCTTGGAGAAAACAGGCTTATACAGAGTCCTTTTTATGTCAGTAAAGGAGACATCAGTGTTTTTGATAATAATTCTCTGTTCAGAAATACAACTAAATTACGGGAGAATTCTAAAGGACATCCATTGAGTCATTTGGAATCTCTAAAGGAAAATACGGTATCGAAATTAGCCCTGACTCAATTAACTGCAAAAGCTTCCAATACTCAAGCTGTTCAGATCCTCGATTGATCCTTCAGCTCTAACTTTCCATTCTTTTCCCAAGATGGGATTAAGGAAGACTTTCAAGATCAAGAAATAAAGGAATCAAAACCAAATTGTAGAGCTAAAACACCTGGTATAGAGACAAAATCATCACAAAGGATCAACCGGATAGATTCAATGTCTCCTAAAAGTATTCTTAAGAAACCGTGCACAGCTCAAGTGGGACATCGAAAGAAAGTGCATTACTCCAGAAGACTTCAAAGCAGTGGAGACCACTCAGTTCAGCTAAATAACCTTAGGATGGAGGATATGAACCAGTCCTCCTATTTCAACAGGTAAGGCATTTGTAGTAATCATAGTGTCCGTTCTGGTAAGAATAATGATCCGAACAGTTCTGCTAATAAGCTTAAACATAAAATCTTGCAGAAAGCCAAGGAACGACAAAAGCCGAGGAAAATCGACCATTGTACTTTAAAGCAGATCATCCAGTATAAAAATGCGTATAAATCTTATAATACCAAGCTGTTCAAAAATAGAGTGCTGAAGCACCCCCAAAATGAGGAAACTACCAAGGAAGAGATCGCTAAAATTATTGAGTATGACCATCAAGAAATTTATTCTCCAGGGAAGCAGCCTTGTAGTAAGTTCTAGTTGCTCATTCTAGGCATGACTATTATTAACTCTCATGCTAGGAAACCGTTTAAATCCATTGATGCAACCAGCAAGTAAGGAATCCAATGCTCATTATTTATAGTGTGAAGAGACTCATTAAGAAGCCTGGCATAAATCCTGAGATTGCAACACTTTATAAGAAATTTGGCATCTTGGGAAAACTTACCAAAGCAAGACCTCATTCTGGGTTTACTAGTAACATGAACATTGAAGAAAACCGAATCGCTTCTGGCTCTGGATTTAGAGGAGCCGTTGCTCGAGGCAATGTACGGAAAATCAAGCTTAACATCAAAACTAACAAATCTAAGAGTACTGATGATCACGCAAGCAGGAAATTTACAAACAAATAGTTATATCTCCAAAATCTTAACAGTTTCCATAACTCGACTTTCAAAAGGGGTTTTGGGGTTTTGGGGTTTTGGGGTTTTGGGGTTTTGGGG